TTCCCCTTTTCCCTTTTCCCTTTCCCCTTTTCCCTTTCCCTTTTCCTCCTTTCCCTTTTCCCTTTCCCTTTTTCCCTTTCCCTCTTCCTCCTCTTTCCCTTTTCCCTTTCTCTCTTTCCCTTTCTCCTTCTCCCTCTTCCCTTTCTCCTTCCTTCTCTTCTTTTCCTTTTCCCTTCTTCTCTTTCCCTTTCTCCTTCCCCTTTTCCCCTTTCTCCCTTTCTCCTCTTTCCCTTTTCCTTTCCCCTTTTTCCCTTCCTCCTTTCCCTCTTTCCCTTTCCCTTCCTCCTTCTTCCCTGTCCCCATCCCTTCCTTCTTTTTCTCTTCCCTTTTTCCTTTCTCTTTTCCTTTCTCCTTTCCCCCATTCCCCGTCCCCTTTCCCATTCCCATTCCCCATTCCTGTTCCCTTTCCCGTTCCCTTTCCCATTCCCCATTCCCATTCCTGTTCCCGTTCCCATTCCCATTCCCCATTCCATTCCCGTTCCCATTCCCCCCTCACTCCCGCTCTCCCCCCAGGACCACCGCTCTCTCCCACCCTGATCCCGACCGCACCAGGACCTTGGGAGCCGCTGGAAGCACCGGGATGGGGGAAAAGCCCCCCCCCCCGCATCCCTTGGGAAGCGCCGGCGCTCGGGGGGGGAGGGGCCCGATCCTGGAGCCGGGTCCGGAGTTGGGGGGGGGGGGGGAACCCCGGGTGTTTGTTAATAAACGTCTGCAACGGCTCCGGGCTGGAGCTGGGATCCCGGGATCCCGATGGTGAGCCTGGGATCCCGACATTGATCCCGAGCATCCCGATATTGATCCGGGCATCCTGACACTGATCCAGGATCCTGGCATTGATCCAGCATCCTGACACTGATCTGGGGATCCCGACACTGATCCCGAGCATCCCCGATATTGATCCGGGCATCCTGACATTGATCCAGGATCCTGACACTGATCTGGGGATCCCGACATTGATCCCGAGCATCCCGACATTGATCCCGAGCATCCCGACATTGATCTGGGCATCCTGACATTGATCCAGGATCCTGGCATTGATCCAGGATCCTGACACTGATCTGGGGATCCCGACATTGATCTCGAGCATCCCGACATTGATCTCGAGCATCCCGACATTGATCCCGAGCATCCCGACATTGATCTGGGGATCCAGACATTGATCCCGGGCATCCTGACACTGATCCGGGCATCCCGACATTGATCCGGGGATCCAGACATTGATCCATGATCCTGACATTGATCCATGATCCTGACATTGATCCAGGATCCCGACATTGATCTGGGCATCCCGACATTGATCCGGGGATCCCGACATTAATCCAGGATCCTGACACTGATCTGGGGATCCCGACATTGATCCAGGATCCTGACACTGATCTGGGGATCCCGACATTGATCCAGGATCCTGACACTGATCTGGGGATCCCGACATTGATCCAGGATCCTGACACTGATCTGGGGATCCCGACATTGATCCAGGATCCTGACACTAATCCAGGGATCCCGACATTGATCCGGGCATCCTGACACTGATCCCGGGATCCGATGGTGAGCCTGGGATCCTGACATTGATCCCGAGCATCCCGACATTGATCCAGGCATCCCGACATTGATCTGGGAATCCTGACACTGATCCAGGGATGCTGACATTGATCCCGGATCCTGGCATTGATCCCGGGGATCCCGACATTGATCCTGAGCATCCTGACACTGATCCGGGGATCCCAACATTGATCCCGGGATCCTGACATTGATCCAGGCGTCCCCACACTGATCCAGGGAACCCCCTTTAGCCCCTGGGGTCCCCCTTAAACCCCTGGGTCCCTCTTTAGTTCTGGGTCCCCCTTTAACCCCTGGGTCCTCCTTTAACCCCAGGGTCCCCCTTTTAACCCCTGGGTCCCCCTTTAACCCCTGGGCCCCCTTTTACACCCTGGTCCCCACTTTAGCCCCAGGGTCCCCCCTTTAACCCCTGGGTCCCCCTTTAGCCTCAGGGTCCCCTTTAACCCCTGGGTCCCCCTTTAGCCTCAGGGTCCCCCTTTTATCCCTGGGCCCCCTTTAACCCCTGGGTCCCCCTTTAGCCTCAGGGTCCCCCTTTAACCCCTGGGTCCCCCTTTAACCCCTGGGTCCCCACTTTTACCCCCTGGTCCCCACTTTAGCCCCAGGGTCCCCCCTTTAACCCCTGGGTCCCCCTTTAGCCTCAGGGTCCCCCTTTAACCCCTGGGTCCCCCTTTTAGCCCCTGGTCCCCCTTAACCCCAGGGTCCCCCGTTTGCTCCTGGGGTCCCCCTTTAACCCCTTGGTCCCCCTTAACCCCAGGGTCCCCCCTTTGCTCCTGGGGTCCCCCTCTTGTCCATGCCTGGGAAACCGGGGGGGGATCCCACTAATAGAAAGCTCCCTGTTGGGGGGGGGGGGGGGGGGATGCTCCTGGGTTTTGGGGTGAAAAGAGTTTGGGGGCTCTAAAAGAGGGGGTTGGGGCTGGTGAAACCCTCCCGCTCCTCTCCCCCTCATGGAAGGGGGTCCATTGGGGATCCCCCCCCCCCCTTCCCCTCATCCCATTGGGATCCGGAGCCTTCCCAGCCCCCTTTCCCCGCCCCCCAACAGTGGTTTGGGGCCGATCTCTTCTTCTTCTTCCTCCTCCTCCTCTTCCTTCCCCTTGGCCGGCCCCATATAAAAGCCGGTGGGGACGGCGCCAGGCACGGGGCTGCAGCGCCGGGCCGCAGGTAAGGGGGTGGCGATGGGTTCCTTGGGATGGGATAGGGGGAAAAGGTGGATCGTGGGGCTCGCCATCCGCCCCATTCCCATGGGGCTCGCCTGGGGTGGAGCTTACCCATGGAGGGCAGGAGGGAGGCGGTGGCGGCTCCTGTGCAGGTGATGGATGATGATGATGATGATGATCAATGATGATCGATGATGATGATGATGATGATCAATGATGATCGATGATGATGATGGATGGATGATGATGGGGGATGATGGCCTCTTCCCATGTTCCAGATCCCTGGATCATTCCCAAGCCTTCCCTTGGAGTTCTCCCCTTCAGCGTTGCCCCATTCCCACTTGAGGGGGTTTCTCCTCATCCCATGGGATCCAATCCCGGGGTCCCCTCCCCGGGGGGGGTGGAGAAGCTCCTTTGGTGTTTCCTCATCCGAGCTCTTGCGCCATTGAGGGGAGGGGGGAAGTGGGGCGAGGAAGTGGGGCAATGCTGGCTTCCTGGTGGCCATAGGGACAACAGTGGGGTGGGGGGGCATGGGTGGAGGAGCATCCCATGGGACTGCTTTGGAGGGGCAGGGGTGGGGAGGATGGAGGGGGGATGCTGATGGGCATAAGGGAGAGCTGGTTTATGGGGATGCTTTCCAGCTCCGGGTTGGATTGGGAGGTCATTGAGGGTCCTTCCAACCCCAAACCCATTGTGGGACATGCTATATGGGCCTTTGAGCACCTTGGTTTGGTGGAGATGCCCTTGCCCATGGCACCTTGGGTGATCCTTGAGGGTCCTTCCAACCCAAAACCCATTAGTGAAGATGCCCTTGCCCATGGTGCACAGAGTAGGTACCAATGAAGGTCCTTCCAACCCCAAACCCATTGTAGGGCTTTGAGCACCTTGGTTTGGTGGAGATGCCCTTGCCCATGGCACCTTGGGTGGTCATTGAGGGTCCTTCCAACCCAAAACCCATTGTGGACCTTTGAGGATCTTGGTCTGTTGAAGATGCCCTTGCCCATGGTGCATAGAGTAGGTACCAATGAAGGTCCTTCCAACCCCAAAACCCATTGGTGAAGATGCCCTTGCCCATGGTGCATAGAGTAGGTACCAATGAAGGTCCTTCCAACCCCAAACCCATTGTAGGACATGATATATGGGGCTTTGAGCCCCTTGGGCTGGTGAAGATGCCCTTGCCCATGGTGCACAGAGTAGGTACCAATGAAGGTCCTTCCAACCCAAAACCCATTGGTGAAGATGCCCTTGCCCGTGGTGCCCAGAGTAGGTACCAATGAAGGTCCTTCCAACCTAAAACCCATTGTAGGGCTTTGAGCACCTTGGTTTGGTGCCCATGGAACCTTGGGTGATCATTGAGGGTCCTTTCAACTCAAAACCCATTGTGGGTCTTTGAGCCCTTTGGTCTGGTGAAGATGCCATTGGCCATGGTGCATAGAGTAGGTACCAATGAAGGTCCTTCCAACCCACCACTCCCTCACACCGGGGTTGTTCCCAACCCCAGGAGCTCCACGATGGACTTGGACTTCCTCTTGCCCAACACCACCTCCGCCAACGACTCCATGTGGGACAACTACGACATCTACGAGCTGGACTCCTACGCGGTGCCGCCGGGCCACCGCGCCGTGCTGGCCCTCTACACCCTCATCTTCCTCCTGGGCGTCCTCGGCAACGGCGCCGTCATCTGGGTGACGGCCTTCGAGCTGCACCGCACCGTCAACGGCGTCTGGTTCCTCAACCTCTCGGTGGCCGACCTCTTGTGTTGCTTGGCGCTGCCCTTCTTGGCTCTACCGTTGGCTTGGGACCACCATTGGCCCTTGGGCCGCTTCGCCTGCAAGCTCCTGCCCTCCCTCACCGTCCTCAACATGTTCGCCAGCGTCCTGCTCCTCACGGCCATCAGCGCCGACCGCTGCGCCCTGGTTGCCCGCCCCGTTTGGTGCCACAACCACCGCCGGCCGGCGCTGGGCGCGAGCGCTCAGCGCCGGCGCCTGGGCCCTGGCTGCGGCGCTCACGGCGCCGTCCTTCGCCTTCCGCACCACGCGCCGCGACGCCTTCGCCCTCAAGACCACCTGCGTCCCTGGACTACGCGCCCATCGGCGTCCGGCACCAGCGCTTGGCCGAGCTGCTCACCGCCGGCGCCCGCTTCGTCTTGGGCTTCGCCGTGCCCTTCGCCGTCATCACCGCCTGCTACGGCACGCTCTTGGCGCGCGTGCGGAGCAAAGGCTTCGCCCGCTCGCAACGGGCCACCAAGCTCGTCTTGGTGGTCATCGTCAGCTTCTTCGCCTGCTGGTTGCCCTACCACGTGGTGGGGCTCATCCTGGCGGCCTGCCACCCGCGCAGCGCGCTCTACAAAGGCGCCGCCGACGCCGACGCCGCCGTAGCCGGCGTCGCCTACATCAACAGCTGCGTCAACCCGTCATCTACGTGGTGATGGGGCAGGACTTCAAGGCCCGCTTGTGGCGGTCGTGGCGGGCGGTGCTGCGCGGGGCGCTGAGCGATGACCCCACCGCCAGCACCACCGTCGCCACCGGGGAGAGCCGGGCCAAGAGCGTGGCCACCGCCGAGGAGCGCAGCGTCAGCACCGGGGTGTGAGCGCCGAGGGACGCCCAATGGGGCCCCATAGAGGATGAGGTCCCCTTTGGGAGTTGGCTTCGCGCGCAGCACCGCGTCCTCCTGCTTCTCCATCTCCCTATATCCAGCCCCATAGGAGCTGTTCGGCCTCCCAGCCCTACATCTCCATAGGTAAACCCCTCTCCATCACCCCCCTATGGCATCCCCATAGCCACAAGCACCGTCACCAATAAACCCTGGAGCTCCCACAAGCCCCCCGGGGCCTTGGTTCTGCTTTTCGGTGGGGCATTGAGCAACGTTCCTGCTGCTCGGGTTGCCAAGGAGCCGGCGGTGACGCAAGAGGCACCGCGGCCTTTCCGGCCCCATTCCTCGCCATGGGGGCTGGGATCTGGCCCATGGCGGGGGGTGTGAGATCAATGGAGGTGGTTGGGGATGGAGGAGGCAGTGGGGCATCAGTGGGGATGGAGGGGGCAGTTTGGTATCAATGGGGATGGAGGGGGCAGTTGGGTATCAATGGGGATGGAGGGGGCAGTTTGGTATCAATGGGGATGGAGGGGGCAGTTGGGTATCAATGGGGATGGAGGGGGCAGTTTGGTATCAATGGGGATGGAGGGGGCAGTTGGGTATCAATGGGGATGGAGGGGGCAGTTTGATGGAGGGGGCAGTTGGGTATCAATGGGGATGGAGGGGGCAGTTGGGTATCAATGGGGATGGAGGGGGCAGCTGGGTATCAATGGGGATGGAGGGGGCAGTTGGGTATCAATGGGGATGGAGGAGGCAGTTGGGTATCACTGGGGATGGAGGGGGCAGTTGGGTATCAGTGGGGATGGAGGGGGCAGTTGGGTATCAATGGGGATGGAGGGGGCAGTTGGGTGTCAATGGGGATGGAGGAGGCAGTTGGGTATCAGTGGGGATGGAGGGGGCAGTTGGGTATCAATGGGGATGGAGGGGGCAGTTGGGTGTCAATGGGGATGGAGGAGGCAGTTGGGTATCAGTGGGGATGGAGGGGGCAGTTGGGTATCAATGGGGATGGGGAGGCAGTTGGGTATCAATGGGGATGGAGGGGGCAGTTGGGTATCAATGGGGATGGAGGGGGCAGTTGGGTATCAGTGGGGATGGAGGGGGCAGTTGGGTATCAGTGGGGATGGAGGGGGCAGTTGGGTATCAGTGGGGATGGAGGAGGCAGTTGGGTATCAATGGGGATGGAGGGGGCAGTTGGGTATCAATGGGGATGGAGGGGGCAGTTGGGTATCAATGGGGATGGAGGGGGCAGTTGGGTATCAGTGGGGATGGAGGGGGCAGTTGGGTATCAGTGGGGATGGAGGGGGCAGTTGGGTATCAGTGGGGATGGAGGGGGCAGTTGGGTATCAGTGGGGATGGAGGGGGCAGTTGGGTATCAATGGGGATGGAGGGGGCAGTTGGGTATCAATGGGGATGGAGGGGGCAGTTTGGTATCAATGGGGATGGAGGGGGCAGTTGGGTATCAATGGGGATGGAGGGGGCAGTTTGGTATCAATGGGGATGGAGGGGGCAGTTGGGTATCAATGGGGATGGAGGGGGCAGTTGGGTATCAATGGGGATGGAGGGGGCAGTTGGGTATCAATGGGGATGGAGGGGGCAGTTGGGTATCAATGGGGATGGAGGGGGCAGTTGGGTATCAATGGGGATGGAGGGGGCAGTTGGGTATCAGTGGGGATGGAGGGGGCAGTTGGGTATCAATGGGGATGGAGGGGGCAGTTGGGTATCAATGGGGATGGAGGAGGCAGTTGGGTATCAATGGGGATGGAGGGGGCAGTTGGGTATCAATGGGGATGGAGGAGGCAGTTGGGTATCAATGGGGATGGAGGGGGCAGTTGGGTATCAATGGGGATGGAGGGGGCAGTTGGGTATCAGTGGGGATGGAGGGGGCTGTTTGGTATCAATGGGGATGGAGGGGGCAGTTGGGTATCAATGGGGATGGAGGGGGCAGTTGGGTATCAATGGGGATGGAGGGGGCAGTTGGGTATCAATGGGGATGGAGGGGGCAGTTGGGTATCAGTGGGGATGGAGGGGGCAGTTGGGCATCAATGGGGATGGAGGGGGGAGTTGGGGATATGTGTGGGATTTGGGGGGATGTGTGTGGGATATGGGGGGATATGGTGGGATATGGGGGGGGATATGGGGGAGATATGGGGGATATGGGTGGGATATGGGGGATATGGGGAGGATATGGGGGGATATGGGGGGATGTGGGGGGGACATGGGGGGGATATGGGGGAGATATGGGGGGATATGGGGAGGATTTGGGGGGATATGGGGGTATGTGGGGGGGACATGGGGGGATATGGGGGGGAAATGGGGGGGATATGGGTGAGATATGGGGGGATAGGGGGAGGATTTGGGGGGATATGGGTGAGATATGGGGGGATAGGGGGGATACGCGGGGGATATGGAGGGACATGGGGGGACCTGGGGGGCATCTGGGGACACGCAGGGGTTAAGGCGGGGCCGGGCAGCTCCGGGAAGCTCCGCCCCTCGCTCCGCCCCGCCCCGCCCCTTGAGCGCCTCCGGCTCTTGGGCGCCCCCTGGCGGCCCGGCGGTGCTTCCTGTCGGTGCGCTGCGAGCGCGGAGCCGGCCCGGCCCCGGGGGAGCGGAGCGGGGCCTGGAGCGGGGCCGGAGCGGGGCCGGAGCGGGTGAGGGACCGGGGCTGGAGCCGGTGAGGGGCTGGGACCGGAGCGGGACCGGAGCGGGGCCTGGAACGGGGCAGGAGTGGGTCTGGGGCCGGTGAGGGGCTGGGACCGGAGCGGGGCCTGGAACGGGGCAGGAGCGGGTCTGGGGCCGGTGAGGGGCTGGGACCGGAGCGGGGTCTGGAGCGGGGCCTGCAACGGGTCCGGAGCGGGTGAGGGACCGGGACTGGAGCCGGTGGGGACCGGGACCGGAGCGGGGCCTGGAACGGGGCCGGAGCGGGGCCTGGAGCGGGTCCGGAGCCAGTGAGGGAGCGGGGCTGGAGCAGGTCCGAAATGGGTGCGGGACCGGGACCGGGACCGGAGCGGGTCCGAAACGGGTGCGGGACGGGGACCGGAGCGGGTCCGGAGCGGGTGAGGGACCGGGGCTGGAGCCGATGAGGGACCGGGTCCGAAACGGGACTGGAGCGGGTCTGGAGCCAGTGAGGGAGCGGGGCCGGAGCGGGGCTGGAACCGGTGAGGGTCCGGGACGGGAGCGGGTCCGAAACGGGTGCGGGACCGGGACCGGAGCGGGTTCAGAGTGGGGCTTGGAACGGGTGAGGCACCGGGGCTGGAGCCGGTGAAGGGCCAGGACCGGAGCGGGTGCGGGTCCCGTCCCCCCGCCCCATTGACCCCATTGATTCCCTTGGCACAGGAGGCTCCGGCTGCGCCCCACAGCGATGCCTCGGTCCAAAGAGAGCAGCTCCGGGCGTCGGGAACGGGCTCCATCCCCTTCCCGTTGGGATTGGGACTGCCCCAGCGCACGGCGCCGCCTGGAGGAGCTCTACTTCCACGGGCAGGATCCCATCGGCTCCCAGGACATTCCCAACTTCTGGACTTTCTTCCAACGCCTCCGAAGCTTCCAGAGCCGGAGACCGAGCCGGGAACCACCCCCGGAGCCTCCCCCGAGCACCCCTGGCCTCCTCCTACCCCCCCGTTACGACCCCGGCTACCGCATCAACCTCTCGGTGCTGTGCCCCGCGGCGGACGATGCCGCGATCCCTCCGGAACGCCGCCGGGAATTCCACGGCGCTCTCCTCCATTACCTGGACTTCAACCAGAAGCAAAGCTTCGCCAAGCTCCTCCGCATCCAACGCGAACGCGCTGCCCTTCCCATCGCCCCGTTCCGGCACCGGCTCCTGGCCGCCGTGGCTCAGCACCAAGTGGTGCTGGTGGCGGGGGATACGGGCTGCGGGAAGTCCACCCAAGTGCCCCAGTTCCTGCTGGCGGCCGGTTACAGCCGCGTGGCTTGCACCCAACCCCGCCGCATCGCCTGCGTCTCGCTGGCCAAGAGGGTGGCCTTGGAGAGCCTGCACCAGTACGGGAGCCAGGTGAGCGGGGCTGGCTGCAGGAAGGGGCTGCTCCCTCGAGGCAGTTCCTGCGAGTTCCTCAAAATGCCTTCGATTCTATCCAAAATTCTTCACTTTTATCCAAATGACTTCAATCCTAGCCAAATTTTGTCCAAATTTCTGGAATTTTATCCAAATTCTTTCGATTTTACCCGGATTATAACCAAATTCATTCAATTTTATTCAGATTTTATCAAAATTCCTTCAATTTTGTCCAACTTTTTTCAGTTTTATCCAAATTCTATTTTACCTAGATTTTATCCAAATTCTTTCAATTTTATCGAAATTCCTTCAATTTTATCGAAATTCCTTCAATTTTATTGAAATTCCTTCAATTTTATCCAAATCCCTTCAATTTTATCCAAATCCCTTCAATTTTCTCAAAATTCCTTCAATTTTATTGAAATTCCTTCAATTTTATCAAAATTCCTTCAATTTTACCAAATTTTTAGCCATTTTTTCAATTTTACCCTTATTTTAGCCAAATTGTCTTCAAATTTCTTCAAATGTATGCAAATTTCTTCAAATTTCTTCAGATTTATTGAAGTTTTATCCAAATTGACCTCAAAATTCTTCAATTTTATCCAGATTTTATCCAAATTGTCCTCAAATGTTTTCATTTTTATCCAGATTTTATCTGAATTGTCTTCAAATGTCATTGTTATCCAAATTTTATCCTAATTGTCTTCAAATTGCTTCAAATTTGTAAAATTTTTATCCAAGTGTCTTCAGTTTGATCCAAATTTTATCCAAATTGTCTTTGAATTTGTGTAAAGTTCTTCAGTTTTATACAGGTTTTATCCAAATTCATTTTATGCAAATTTTATCCAAATTCCTTTAATTTTGTACAAACTTTATCCAAATTCCTTCAATTGTATCCAAATTTTATTCAAAACTTATCCAAGTGTCTTCAATTTTATCCAGATTTTATCCGAATTTCTTTGATTTTATCCAGATTTTATCAAAAATTCTTCACTTTTATGCAAATTCCTTCAATCTTATCCAAATTTTGTCCAAATTTGTTCAATTTTATCCAAATTCTTTCATTTTTACCCAGATTTTATCCAAATTCCTTCAATTTTACCCAGATTTTATCCAAATCCCTTCAATTTTATCCAAATTTTGTCCAAATTTCTTCAATTTTATCCAAATTCAATTTTACCCAGATTTTATCCAAATTCTCTCAATTTTACCCAGATTTTATCCAAATCCCTTCAATTTTATCCAAATTTTATTCAAATTTCTTCAATTTTGTCCAAATCCCTTCAATCTTATCCAGATTTCATCCAAATCCCTTCAATCTTATCCAAATTTCATCCAAATCCCTTCAATTTTACCCGAATGTTATCCAAACTCTTTCGATTTTACCTAAATTTTGTCCAAATTTCTTCATTTTTTTCCCAAATCCCTTCAATTTCACCCAAATTCCGTCGCTTTTATCCCACTTTTACCCCAAATTCCCTCCGTTTTCCCCGAACTTCATCCCGATTCCTTCCATCCCCGCCTCGTTGCCGTCGGCAGGTCGGGTACCAGATCCGCTTCGAGAGCACGCGTTCCCCGGCCACCCGCCTGCTCTTCCTGACCGAGGGGCTGCTGCTGCGGCAGGCGCAGCGGGACCCGGCGCTGCGGGGCTACGGCGTCCTCCTGGCCGACGAGGTCCACGAGCGGCACCTCCACGGCGACGTCCTCCTGGGGGTCCTCCGCCGCCTCCTGCCCCGCCGCCCGGACCTGAAGCTGGTGCTCATGTCGGCCACCATCAACATCCCCCTCTTCTCGAGCTACTTCGGGGATGCTCCGGTGCTGCAGGTGCCCGGCAGGAGCTTTCCCATCTCGGTGAGCGCGGAGCAGGATCTCGTTTGGGGTTAGAGCTCGCCTGGAGCTGGTGGGACAAGTCCAGAGGAGGCCACGAGGATGATGAGGGGACTGGAGCACCTCCTGTATGGAGTTGGGGCTGATCAGCCTGGGGAAGAGAAGGCTGCGTGGAGACCTCAGAGCAGCTTCCAGTGTCTGAAGGGGGGCTGTAGGGATGCTGGGGATGGACTCTTCATTAGGGACTGCAGTGACAGGACAAGGGGTAACGGGTTCAAACTCAAACAGGGGAAGTTTAGGTTGGATCTAAGGAGGAAATCCTTTCCTGTGAGGGTGCTGAGGCACTGGAATGGGTTGCCCAGGAGGCTGTGAACGCTCCATCCATGGTGGTGCTCAAGTCCAGGTTGGACGAGGCCTTGGGTGCCGTGGTTTAGTGTGAGGTGTCCCTCCGGTTGGAACTGGATGATCCCAAGGTCCTTTCCAACCCCAACGATTCTACGAACCCCATCGCAATCCCATCCTCCTCCCTCCCTCAGGTCATCTACCAACCCATCCCTAAGGAAGAAGCGCCGGGGAAGACCGGGAAATGGGAACGCCTGGATCCGATGCCTTACCTGAGGATCATGCAGGCCATCGACCACAAGTACCCCGCCGAGGAGCGGGGGGACCTGCTCGTGTTCCTGAGCGGGGTGGCTGAGATCGGTGCTGTGCTGGAGGCAGCACAGGCCTACGCTGCCTGTACCCAGCGCTGGATCGTGCTCCCGTTGCACAGCACCCTCTCGGTGGCGGAGCAGGATAAGGTGGGTCAAAGGAAAAGGGGAATCACCCACTGGTTTGGCTGGGAAGGGACCATAAAGCTCACCCAGTTCCAAGCTGCTGCCATGGGATTCCTGCCATGGAGGAGGTGGCTCCAAGTCCCGTCCAACCTGGCCTTGGTGGAGCATCCAACCGTTCACCACATCCCATTGTGCCACCGTCCTCATAGGGAAGAACTCCTGCCTCCCATCCCCTCTGACAGCTGGAACCCATTCCCCCTTGTCCCATCCCTTTATCCCTTTTCCAGGGTTACCTGGAGCCCCTTGAGGCACTGGAGCTGCCCTAAGGTCTCCCCTTACTGGAGCCTTCTCCAGGCTCACCCAGCCCAGCTCTCTCAGCCTGGCTCCAAGCAGAGCTGCCCCATCCCTTGCAGCATCCCCATGGCCTCCCCACAGCTCAAACCTGCTTATGGGGGGGGGGGGGGGGTTGGCTCTTGGGGTTGCCCCCTCCTGCTCTTTGGTGCTCCATGGTTTCTCCTCCTCCAGGTCTTCGATGTTGCCCCTCCTGGCGTCAGGAAGTGCATCCTCTCCACCAACATCGCCGAGACCTCGGTGACCATCGATGGGGTGCGCTTCGTGCTGGATTCAGGTTTAACCCCCACCCCTATCCCCGTCCCCATCCCCATCCCCATGGATCCTCCTGCTTCTCCATGCATCCTGCTCCCTGCAGGGAAGGTGAAGGAGATGAGCTACGACCCTCAGGGCAAGCTCCAACGCCTGCAGGAGTTCTGGATCAGCCAGGCCAGCGCCGAGCAGCGCAAGGGCCGCGCCGGCAGGACCGGGCCCGGGGTCTGCTACCGGCTCTATGCTGAGTCCGACTACGATGCTTTCCCCCCTTATCCCGTCCCTGAGATCCAGAGGGTGGCTTTGGATGCTCTGGTGCTGCAGGTAATGGGGCTGAGGGGGGGATGAGAGAGGGAAAGAGGGGGATCAAGGATGCGGCTCAAGCCCCCCAGAGTGTGATGTGGTTTTTGGAAGGGGGGGGGGGGGTGTGGGGTTTTGCTCTCCCCATCATCATTGGGCTCATTCTTTTCCAGTTGAAGAGCATGGGGCTGGGTGACCCCCGCACCTTCCCCTTCCTGGAGCCTCCTCCCTCTTCCAGCCTGGAGACAGCCGTGAGGTACCTGAAGGAGCAAGGAGCCCTGGATGAGGCCGAGCAACTGACGCCCATTGGGAACATCCTGGCCCAGCTGCCCGTGGACGTGGTGGTGGGTGAGTAACCAAGGGGCACCCCCTTGATGGTGTAAAGACCCATGGAGGTTTTGGGGGGGTGGGGGGTGTCAGGATGCTCATCCTGCCCCCCCCCCCCCAACCCCGCAGGCAAGATGCTGGTGCTGGGCACCCTCTTTGGCCTGGCCGAGCCCACGCTGACGGTGGCCGCGGTGCTGAGCGTGCCGTCCCCCTTCCTGCGCCCCACGCACCCCAATCCGGAGTGCGCCGCGGCCCGGCAGCCCCTCGAGAGCCCCCACGGGGACCCCTTGACGCTGCTCAACATCTTCAACGAGTGGGTCCAGGTGGGATTGGGGATAAAGGGTGGTGGGGGGGGGGTGTTGAATGTGTGGGGCCGGGGATTCTGGCGCTCAACGGGGCTGCTCCCGGCGCAGGTGAAGTCGGAGCGCGGTGGCAGCTCGCGGAAGTGGTGCCGGCGGCGGGGTTTGGAGGAGCATCTGCCTCTACGAGGCCGCCAACCTCCGGCGCCAATTCCAGGTTAGGACCCGCTCCGAAGGCTGGGATTTGCCTTTGGGATTCACCCCCGACCCCTCCACATCCTTCTTCTTCTCCCACGTTCCAGGAGCTCCTTCGGGACCACCGACTGCTGGACGATGCTTCCGAGCAGCCCGACGACCGGCGGAGCCGGCACCGGGAGCGCCGGGAGCTGCACCGGCTCTGGCGTTCCCATACGGAGACCGAAGGGCGCAAGAGGAAGACGCTGCGGCTGCAGCACGGAACGGACGCCTCCTCCGGTGAGGAAGAGGATGGTGGCTCCCGTGGCATCGATATCCAGGTGAGCCCTTGCCTGCATCCTTCTCCTCTTCGGGATGAGGGATTGCGAGCGGCCAGGACCACCCCACCCCAATGACTCCCATTCCTTGCTTGCAGGACGTCAAGTTCAAGCTCCGGCACGACGTGAGCGAGCTCCAGGCCGCATCCAGTTTGGGCCTGGCCTCCTCTCAGCTCACCCTGCTCAAGCTGGTGCTGTGCCGGGGGCTGTACCCGCAGCTGGCTCTGCCGGATCACTTCAACGGCAGCCGCAAGGATTCGGAGCAGGTCCTGAGCCAACCAACCCCCCCCTTCTTTTTCCTCTGCTCCATCCCCATCCTTTGGTCCTCAGCAGCCCCCTCAATGCTCCCTCTTGCTGCAGCTCTTCCACACCAGGAGCAAGGCGGGCGTCGTGCCTCATCCCACCTCCGTCTTCGCCACCAGCCCGGAGCTGCTTCACCCTAAGGAGAAAGGGGAACGGGGAGGGGGCAGAGGTGAGAACCAAGCCCAAAGGGCCTGGGATAAGGATGGGGAAAGGTTGGGCTGCATCCCACACCGACCCCAACCCTGCAGACCCTGAGCAGGGGCTGAGCCACCGCCACCAGCTCCTCGCCTTCGTCTCGCTGCTGGAGACCACCAAGCCCTACCTGGTGAACTGCGTGCGGGTACCAGCCCTGCAGGTGAGCCCTTCACCTTCCTCCTCTGCAAAGCCCAACCCACCTTTGGGTGTGAGCCTTCCTCACACCTCCTCCTCCTCCAGGCTCTCCTGCTCTTCTCCCAATCCCTGGACACCAGTGCTGACTGCACCCGGCTGGTGGCTGATGGCTGGTTGGAGGTGAGCGTTCCCAACGCGGACGATGCCCTGCGCCCTGCTCTCCGTGGCCCTGCAGCTCCGTTGTGCTTGGGAAAAGCTCCTCCATCAGCTCCTGGAGCACGGGGAAGAGGAGCTGGGCCCGAGGCCGAGCGAGAGGGATGTGTCCGCGCTGAGCCGGGGGCTGCTGGACTTCCTGCAGGAGAAGGTGATGGGCAGCGCTGCAGCACGGGCTCATAGCAAAGCCCTTTGAGCTCAGCCAGCCCAAGCCTTACCCCAAGCACCCTTTGGGGATGGAAGCCTTCCCAATATCCATCTAAACCTCCCCTATCCTATCCTTTGGGAGCAGAGCCCAACCCCACCTCACTACAAGGTGTGTGTCCCCCCCACACCGCCCCGAGCCTCCTCTTCTCCACACCCCATCATTCCCTCAGCCATTCCCCATCCTAATTCCCTTCTTGATTCCCTTTGTGACCGTGATGCAGGTGCCTCTGCCCCCATCTCCCCCCACCTTGGAGACGGGGAAATGGGGGGGGGGGGAACCTGGAGCATCCCTCATGTCCCCGTATCCCCTCGCAGGTCCCGTACCGCCTGCACCAGCTCACGGCGCTGGAGAAGCAGAACCTCTACGTTGGGCCTCAGCCCGTGGCTGCAGCTCCCCACGTGCCAGGCCTCTTCCAGGGCCTGGAGATGAGACCCGACGAGGTGAAAGGGGCCATAGGGTCACTGATTTCCTCACCTACAACTGCTTGGCTGTGAGTACCTCCCTTTGCCCCCGTCCCCATCCTGCTCTTTGTTCCTCCTGCATCCCTCTGAGCATCCCCTCTGCGCCCCACAGATGGACACAGACCTCTACAGCAACTGCCTGCGGAGCTTCTGGACCTGTCCCCATTGCCAGCTCCACATGCCCTTCACCCCTCTGGAACGCATGTGCCATGAGAGCTCCTGTCGGCCTCCCCCCTCCCACCCCGAGGGTGAGCTTGGAATTGGGCTTGGGAAGGAGCTGGAGATCACCCAGTTCCAACCTGATGCCATGGGCAGGGATGGCTCCTGCTGGACCGGGTCACCCAAGGCTTCATCCAACCTTGGACACTGCCAGGGATGGGGGCATCCAAACCTCCTCCATTCCACCCATCCCAGTGTCCCACTTCCTTACCTCCAGCCTGGGCTTCCCCTCTTCCAGCTGGACCCCATCACCCCTTGTCCTATGGCCCCAGTCCCTGATGCAGGTCCCATTCCCAGCAGCCTTGGTCCTCCCTTCAGAACCCCCCCCACAGCTTCTCTCCTCCAGCCCCAGTGCTCTCAGCCTGGCTCCCTATGGAAGCTCCAGCTCCCATATGGAGATACATATGGGTGCTCCTGCTCCCATATGGGTATATATATGGGTGCTCCTCCTCCCATATGGATATATATATGGGTGCTCCTCCTCCCATATGGATATATATATATGGGTGCTCCAGCTCCCATATGGATATATATATGGGTGCTCCTGCTCCCATATGGATATATATATGGGTGCTCCAGCTCCCATATGGAGATACATATGGGTGCTCCAGCTCCCATATGGAGATATATATGGGTGCTCCAACTCCATATGGATATATATATGGGTGCTCCAGCTCCCATATGGAGATATATATATGGGTGCTCCAACTCCCATATGGATATATATATATGGGTGCTCCAGCTCCCATATGGAGATATATATGGGTGCTCCAGCTCCCATATGGAGATATATATATGGGTGCTCCTGCTCCCATATGGATATATATGGATGCTCCTGCTCCCATATGGATATATATATGGGTGCTCCTGCTCCCATATGGATATATATATGGGTGCTCCTGCTCCCATATGGACATATATATGGGTGCTCCAGCTCCCATATGGATATATATATGGGTGCTCCAGCTCCTGAGCATTCTTAAGGCTCCAGCATCCCCACATCCTCCTGATGCTGAGGCCCCCCCACCCTGCTGCCCGTGGGGCCTCACTGCAGCATCATCACCCTCCTGTTGCTGCAGCCCAAGCCCATAGAGGGGGTTCTGGGCCCAAGCACCCCAAGTCCTTCTCCTCAGGCCTGCCCTCATCCCGTTTTTTTCCCCACAGCCCCCCTGAAGAAGCAGCTGAGGGCTCATCCAAGAGCTCAGCCCTCCATCGGCCCTACCACTGTGCCATCTGCCAGCAGGACTTCACCTTCACCCCCACCGAGATCCTGCGCCACAAGAAGCAGCATCACTGACCAGGCTGGTGGCACCTGGACCTCCCCCTCCTTCCCCTTTATCCCAAAGGAAAAGCCAGGACCCCCCCCCCCCAAGAACAGGAATTATCCCCCCCCAACCTCAACACTGCCAACCCCATTGCTGTTGGGTGAGTGTGGCTGCCTTTGGTGCTTTAGGGGTGTTCTGGTGGCCCCTGTGGCTCGGTGTGGGTGCATGGCCACAGCTATGGGGGGGGGATACCCCGATTTCACCCCCTTGTAAATAAATAAGAGTTGGGGTAACTCTCTTTTGGAGGTTGGGGTTCCCCTTTGGTGTCATGGGCATGGAAGGGGGATTGTTTGGGTGCTCTGGGGGCTGGTTTCAGCCAGTGGGTGGCACTCCAATACCAGGCTCATCCCTGCCTCGGCTCCTTTCCTTCCTGTATCCCATGGGAAGAGCATCAGAGGGGGCTGTGCCAGGCCTTGACCACCACCAAGCCTCAAACCCTCTCCCAAACCCCATCCCACATCTCAGGACCGAGTGACCTGAGCATCCCTTGGGATGATCCCAAGGGAGACGATGTGGCCTTGACATCAGAAAGCCTCCAGGAGGTGGGGCTGGCTCCGATGGGTTTGGGGGGGCTGGAAAAGCCTGGAAGAAGGCAAATCCATCCCCCTTTGTGCCCTCTGGAAGCAAATCCCACAAGGACAGGGATGTGGAGAGAGGCATTGGTTATTGTGCTGTGTCGGGCTGAAGCAGGGGGGAAGAGATGCAAGGGGAAGGATGCTGAGTGCTTAACATGGTTTAACCCCTTTTCTCCTTCCTAAATGGGTTTTCTTCCCTTTCTTCCCCTTTTTCCCTCCCAGGGTGGCCTCCCCTTCGTGCTGGCCTTTACCTGTCATGAATCCCTGCTGGATTCCTGGCAGGAATTCCATTGAGGTGCTGGCCTGAGGGCATTCATTGGGTTGGGGGTCTTCATTCAGGGCCTTAGCTCAGCACCATCCCAGCCCACTTTGGGGGTACAGGGAGAGCAGTGTCCCCCCACTTCAGTGGTGTTGCCAGGGAGAGGATGCTTGGAGTGAGTCCCCGTTGCTATGGCAGCGAGGCGGGATGGAGATGCTCCTGCCATGGCAACAGCCATCAGCTGGCTCTGTTGCAGGCTACAGGAGCCCCGGTTCTTTGCCATCCCCTTTAGGAAGGTGGGTTATCAGAGGGTCTCTTAGGGTGGGATGGGGTGGAAAGGACCTCAAGATGATCCAGGTCCTGCCCCACTGCCTGACCAAGGGCCTCCAAGGAAGCTGGGGCTCAGGAGGTCACCTGCAGGATGGTGCTGGCCTCTCATGGCACGCACTTAAAGGGAGGTGCAGGGTAGAGCCTGGTTTCAGCCCTCTGTGCCCCCTGGGGGTGGGGGGAAAAGGCTGGATTTGGCTTGGGTTTGGTGCTGGAAGAGGAGCAAACCCCTCCTCCCTCCCTCCCTCCCCATCCTCAGAGCCCAGCTGGAAACGTGCTTGCAGTGAAAGCCCAATAAAGACCTCCCTGGGTTCTCCCCCCCCCCCACCCCCCCACAGTCCTCCTTTTTCCTCTCTGATCCCATTGGATTGAGTTCTCTTTCCTCCTCGAGCTGAGCATGGGTTAAGACAGGGGAAAAGAAGGAAAAGGGGGAAAGCATTCCCTGGTTTTCCCCAGGAATATCCCTCTTGTCAGGCTCTTCTTCACTGCTGCTTTGGGAGCATCTCTATCTATCTATCTATCTATCTATCTATCTATCTATCTATCTATCTCTCTCTCTCTCTCTATCTCTATCTCTCTATACCTAACTATCTACCTATCATCTATATCTATCTATATCTGTATCTATATCTGTATCTATATCTGTATCTATATCTATATATCTATATCTATATCTATATCTATATCTAACTACCTATCATCTATCTCTATCTATATCTCTATATCTGTATCTCTATCTGTAGCTATATCTATCTATATCTCTATATATCTCTATATCTGTATCTATATCATCTATATCTATATCTATATCATCTATATCTATATCTATCTATATCTAACTCTCTACCTATCATCTATATCTATCTATCTCTATCTATATCTGTATCTATCTACCTACCTATCATCTATCCATCTATATCTGTCTATATCTCTCTATCATCTATCTATATCTAACTCTATATCTATAGATATCTATATCTATCATCTATATCTATATATCTATATTTACCTATCATCTGTCTATATCTATCTGTATCTATCTACCTATCATCTATCTATATACCTATCTATCATCTGTTTATCTGTATCTATCTATAGCTATCTATCTATATCTACCTATCTATCTCTATAGCTGTCTCTATTTAACTATCTCTGTCTACCTGTCTCTATATCTATCTGTATCTATCTATTTATCTGTCTCTATATCTATCTTATCTGTATCTTTATATCTATATCTTTATCTATATCTACATCTATCTGTTTACACCCAGAACTCCAGGTAAATTCCATCTATAAATAATACTATAAAAATATAAAAATAGAATAGAAAAATATAAATATATAATATGTAATATAAATGTAAAAAAGCTAAAAATAACATTCATGTAAAAATACAAATATAACTATATCCATATAAAAACACACTATCAACATAGAAGCTCTGCTGTCAAAAAAGATAAGCAGTAAATCTGCCCCTTCCTGCCACAGCAAGGCTGAGAGGGGGGGGCTCACAGCATCCTCCTCCTCCTCCTCCTCCCCTGCATCCCTGCCTGGTACCCAGCCAGGCGCCAGCATCCCGGCGCCTTCGGGATGCATCAGAGGGGTTAAACCCCAACCCCGTGCCCTTCCAAGCCCTCAGCTTCAAGGCATTGTTCCTCCTCTTTTGTTCCCCCAGGAAAAGCAGGAATGTGGGGGGAAAAACCCCATTTGTGTGGCTTCTAAGAGGGAGGAGCAGCGATGGATGCTGTTCAATCACTGCAAGCAATGACTGCCTCGGCAGGGGTATGGCAGCCCAACTCAGTGTCCTCAGGGCTTCACCTCCACCCTTGCCTTTGCAACCTCCTGTGTGGGTCAATCCCTATTGCCTAGGGCTCTGTATGAGCTCCATGAAAGCTTTTCCAAGGGCAAACTGCTTTGGAGGGAGGAAACTTCCCCCCCCCCCCCGCTTAAAACCCCCTCCATAAACGTGGATGTGCTTTGGATGTTGCCTCCGGTGCTTGGGTCTGGGTCCTGCTCATCCCTGATCCGAGGCATCCAGCTCATCCCGTGTAATTCCTCTGGGAGGAGCCGGCGTGAAGGGGATGGGAGCGGAGGTCCCATCCGCGCTGGACCACAGCGTAGGGAAGCAGGGCAGGGCAATGGATGCCTGTGGCCGGTTCACATGGCTTCACGTGGGTTAACATGGCTTAACATGGTTTAACATGGCTTAACATCGTTTAACATGGTTTAACATGGTTTAACATGGCTTAACATCGTTTAACATGGTTTAACATGGTTTAACATGGCTTAACATCATTTAACATGGTTTAACATGGTTTAACATCATTTAACATGGTTTAACATGGTTTCACATGGTTTAACATGGCTTCACGTGGCTTAACATCATTTAACATGGTTTAACATGGTTTAACATCATTTAACATCATTTAACATGGTTTAACATGGTTTAACATGGTTTAACATGGCTTCACATCATTTAACATGGTTTAACATGGTTTAACATGGCTTAACATCATTTAACATGGTTTAACATCATTTAACATGGTTTAACATGGTTTAACATGGTTTAACATGGCTTAACATCATTTAACATGGTTTAACATGGTTTAACATGGTTTAACATGGCTTCACATCATTTAACATGGTTTAACATGGTTTAACATCATTTAACATGGTTTAACATGGCTTAACATGGTTTAACATCGTTTAAGATCATTTAACATGGTTTAACATGGCTTAACATGGTTTCACATGGCTTCACATGGCTTAACATCATTTAACATGGTTTAACATGGTTTAACATGGCTTCACGTGGCTTAACATCATTTAACATCATTTAACATGGTTTAACATGGCTTAACATGGTTTCACATGGCTTAACATCATTTAACATCATTTAACATGGTTTAACATGGCTTAACATGGCTTCACATGGCTTCACATGGTTTAACATGGCTTAACATCATTTAACATGGCTTCACATGGTTTCACATGGTTTCACATGGTTTCACATGATTTAACATGGTTTCACATGGTTTAATATGGCTTAACATGGTATCACATGGTTTAACATGGTTTCACATGGTTTATCATGGCTTCACATGGTTTAACATGGTTTCACATGTTTTAACGTGGTTTAACATGGTTTCACACGGTTTCACATGGTTTAACATGGTTTCACATGGTTTCACATAATTTCACATGGTTTCACATGGTTTAACATGACTTCTCATGTTTTAACATGGTTTCACATGGCTTCACATGGTTTAACATGTTTTAACATGTTTTCACATGGCTTCACATGGTCTCACATGTTTTCACATGGCTTCACATGTTTTAACATGTTTTCACGTGTTTTCACATGTTTTCACATGGCTTCACATGGTTTAACATGGTTTAACATGTTTTCACATGTTTTCACATGTCTTCACATGTTTTAACATGGTTTAACATGTTTTCACATGTTTTCACATGGTTTAACATGTTTTCACATGGTTTAACATGTTTTCACATGTTTTCACATGGTTTAACATGTTTTCACATGGTTTAACATGGTTTAACATGGCTTCTCATGTTTTAACATGGTTTCACATGGCTTCACATGGTTTAACATGTTTTAACATGTTTTCACATGGCTTCACATGGTCTCACATGTTTTCACATGGCTTCACATGTTTTAACATGTTTTCACGTGTTTTCACATGTTTTCACATGTTTTCACATGGTTTAACATGGTTTAACATGTTTTCACATGTTTTCACATGTCTTCACATGTTTTAACATGGTTTAACATGTTTTCACATGTTTTCACATGGTTT